TCAAGGAAGAATCAATCTAATTGATTTATTTGTGTGTTGGAAGAGAAACGTCTTTTAGATACTCAGTTCAAATGTTTGTATATGTATTATTTGCATGATTCTGTCCGCAGGTGGGGGCACATTCCCACCTAGTGTCAGCAGAAAGTAATGCAAATAATAATTCCAAAAATATGCAAAAACAATATACGTTAAAATATATTTTGAGATCATGTTTAGTCATCTGATTCGTCTCTACATTGCTGGCTGCGTTCTTTCAATTAGTGTCCACAGTGTGCCTATTGAGCCGTGTTGAGCGATGTGGGGCAAGCCCCTCTCTCTGCTGTCAAAATGAATGGGTGCTGTTAAAACTACACTGCGCATGCACACAGTATTTTTCTATTCAATGTGTGCGGCAAAAGAATAATCACCATAGGGGCACTGTGCTGGCATACCCACCAAACGTCATCTCATAATTCAGAGAGCTGATTGGCTGTAAGTATGTGTGACGCGAAAAGTGTAGTTGTGAAGAGGAGACGAGAGAGAGCAGCGTATAGCGATTAAAATCAGTAAAACGGAAAGAAAATGAATGAAGTTGACCATCTACTTCAGCTTTGTTAAGTTCATTTTATGTCATATCTTTTGTTGATCTTCTGTGTTTTGCCAATAGGCTATTGCTCTGCGGGATCGATTGATATTGTGACCTCGGTGATGAGTGTCTGTGTTTTCCTTATATCCCCCCCTCTCTCTATCGGAACCATGGATAGCCTAGCTATTTGTTTACGTGTTTAAAAAAGCATCAGAAGCTTATATATACACATCTAAGTTGTTCGTGCCCCACCACTTTTGTACATATAAAAACGTCACTTTAATACTTAAAATGCGAGGTAAGTGAGAAATATTATAATGTTGAATAATAATTTCACTCAGATTGTCGTTGCAGTGCTTGAATTATAAGTATTTTGTCTGAAATACATTGCAAATTAATTACAGTTTTTCTCGATTGCTAACACATCTTTTTTTTTAATTGCTCAGTTTCTCAGAACACTAAACACAATTCACAAAACCACACACCCAAAGTGCAAAACACCTCATTTCTCCTGCTTATTGAAGAACTGCACTCAAAATTACATAAACACTTACCAAATGCAAACTTTTGCACCACATACAGTATAACACACTTCATTCAAAATACTAGATTGTTTGACCACCCAACTACACACTGCTGAGCATAATCTAAAGCACTTTCATCTTTTATGGGCTATGCTCTGTTCATAGAGGTTTCTGCAGAGAAAGATTGCTTGAGTATACAGAAATACAGTAAATGAAGAAATACAAATCAGTTGTTGAAAAAAATCATATTTTATTCAAAAATAACATTGTGCAACATGCATCTCAGCACATAGTTACAGTTGTTTCTGTAACGCAAAACAAAAATGATGCTTCTGTCAAATACAGTAGATAGAAATAAAAACTTAGAGAGTAAAAAAATATTAGGCTGAACCTTCTGTCCAGCCTCTCTCATCGTCAAACCATGGTTGATAACATGGTCAATCAAAGTGGATTTCATTAGAGAGTATTCTTCTTTATCCACGTCCTCTCACTCCAGCTCTACCTCTACCTCTCATTCTTCCTCCTCTCACTCTCACCCCACCTCTTCCTCCTCCTCTCACTCTCAGCCCAGCTCTTCCTCTTCCTCTTCCTCTTCCTCTTCCTCTTCCTCTTGCTCTTGCTCTTGCTCTTGTTGTTTCTGTAAGAAAGTACTCACCTGTGGTCTTTTTATAGTGCTAACATCCTGATTGATGAGCCAACAATTATGCAATCAGGTGTTTGGTCAGGTGGAACGTGTTTCTTGATTAATGGTCCATGTGTGAGGCATTTTGAATATCAGTGTTTTAAACCTGCTAACACGTGACTTTATGTCAGATTCCTGTGTCTTACGTGGAGAAACATGTGCATTGGTTTGCAAAAAGTGCCATGTTGATTTGCAAATTGTGTGAAAAGCTGAAAACGTGTTTAGAGTTTGGGAGATTTGAGCCGATGTTTTGCTCTTTGAGTGTCAGTTAAAATAATTGTGCTTTATGTATAATCTTTGTGTGTTGGCAATCGAGAAAAACTGTAACATGACAAACCCATTAATTCAAAAACAAAACCCTAACAATGGTGACCTCTAGTGGCTTAAAAGATGAAGTGCAGCAGTCTGCATTCAACTACAAAATGTGCATTATTAGTTCATTCATGTAGTAGACTTCAGTCAGAATGTATCAATGTATGGGCCCATGTGGATCAGTTGGTAGAGTTGTTGGTCCATGAACTGGGGCTCGGTCCCCATGACCTGGGTTTGAATCCGACCTGGGACTATTTGCCGCGTGACATCCCCTCTTTTTCCCGCTTTCAACACTGGCACTTTAATAAAAGCACTGGTTGCCCAAATAAATCTTTTACTAACAAAACAATATGTACTAATGTCTCCCAATAACAGATAATATTTCAAAAAATGATAAATAGGAAACTAATGTTTATAAGATTACACTTTACAAATGTTGATTCTGACATTAATAGGTGTGATCCTTTCAGAATGTTACTAAAAAAGAGGCTGGATTTCAAAAAAGTTGTTTAATATTTTAGTCAAATTCAAATAGACGGTCAAGATAAGTTGATATAATTCATGTGTTTCGGTCAGTCAATGAGTTCCCATAATTTTCACATCAGGGCCCTGTAAAAGAAGCCGGTTTTGTTAATTGATCCTAAATGAATGAGGTTTTTAAGATTTGGGTCATTGGTGTTCGGGAATTTTACTCTTACAACCCCTGAGTTCATTTCATGATTTCATACTAGATTGATTGCTTGAGAAAACCCACTCTTACCAGTCTTACGTCTTCCTGGATCACTCACTGTTTCAATCTTTAAGGAGATGGAATTTACTTTTGGATCTGTTATCTCTCTGCTGATAACAACACTGGTACTGTCAGTGAACACAGTAGGATTGGACGACCCTGAAAATATGAACAACAATCGTGCTTCTGAAACGTTTTAACAAAGAATAAGGGCTGGGGAGTTTCTGCCTATGGGCAGTCTGGCGAATGCTTGCATGATAAGGTAGTACCCATAGAGTCCAGTAGAGGGCTCCGCCTGTGCTTATATAACAAGGGTTACCATACGTAACCCCTCGTTGTCAAACTGGAATAAAGAATCAAAGTTGTGAAGTGTATATTTTTGTTTTTGTTGCCGTCTTGTCAACAGAGACCAAAAGCGTGCTGCTTCTTGTGTCTTCTCAAGGTCATACAAAGTGCATAAAATAAATTCATATAAAAAACGCTGATGCTGACACATTGATGGATCATTAAATATAATCCAATAATATGATATGTTATATTCTTAAATGGTCAATTGTGGAGATCAAGTATTATTACTAAGATGCTTACATATTTTAAGATGCTAAATGTATATTATATATATTATTTTTACATTGCTTCAGTAAAAGGTTTTCATGGAGGATTTGTTAGGTCATTTCTTTCTGTATCTTTTTTAAACTACAGTCTAGCTTACTACTAGGTTTACTTAAAGGTAGAGTAGGTAAGTTTGAGAAACCGGCTCGAGATACACTTTTTGTTATATTCCATGGAATGCTCTTAACACCCCGATAGCAATGAATATCTTAAGTGCTTTGACAAAAAATCCATATAAAAATGTCATCTGTGGAAGCCGTAGTACTGTAAAAAGTACGACCAATCATTTTAGCCGGCCCGGCTAAAATAACTGGATGGCCTACCTGCCTGTCAGCTTTCCATCGTGTTTGTTGGAGGAGGGGCTCAATAAGGAAGTGGCAGATTTTCTCCGGTTGTGTATTTTCAAATTCTAGCAATCTCGAGCCGGTTTCTCAAACTTACCTACCCTACCTTTAAGTAAAAGTTAGGTGAATATTTCTTAGATTGTTAGTTTTTAAACTTATTCACAAGTTTGACTAAAATGCTCATTGCATGTTTGAATGAAATCAAACATCAAATTGTGTTAAAGACAATGCACATTTTACTAACATGACAAACAAATGATAACAACAAACAAATCCTTAACAATTGTGACCTCTAGTGGCTCATAATAGATATTACTAGTCCATTTATTCAGGAATATCCAGTCAGAATGTATCTATCTATCTTTAATTTATTTTCTCCTAATGACGGATGACAGATATTGGTGCAAGCTTTTTATCAGGTTTAATATACACACACATTTAAATATCCCCAGCATCCCCAGTGTGAATGACAGCTATTGGCTCCTCATCAGGAAGCTATTGCAAATAGTGATTTTACCTTAAAGGTGGGGTAGGTAATTTTGGAGAAACCAGCTCGAGTGCGCTAAAATTTGAAAATACGCAACCGGAAAAAATCTACCACTTCCTTACAGAGCCTCTCCTCCAACACACACGAATGCGCACATGACCAATGATGGCACGAGATAAGTTTGTACACAGATGGAAGGCTGACAGGCAGGTAGGCCATCCAGTTATTTTAGCCGGGCCGGCTAAAATGATTGGTCGTGCTTTTTACAGCGCCACGGCTTCCACAGATGTATTTATTGTCAAAGCATTTAATATATTCATTGCGATCGGGATGTTAAGAGCATTCCATGGAATATAACAAGTGTTTCTGAAGTGAATTACCTACCCCACCTTTAAGGGTCACCAATTATGCCGTATTCACTTTTTCATGTCTATTATACATAAATACAATCCGATTTTGGCCACTTTATGATGCCATAATTAGTTTTTTGGGTCGTGCATCCACTGGCCAATAATCAACCATGGTAACAACCGCCCACCTTATCACATGAATCTCCTCCTAAAGCAAAATAAATGGCTGATTATGATGGGTGTATGGCATGCTACAATGCATGATCTCTTAGGGATTTTGAACCAAACACTTCAGAGACATAAGTAAGTAAGTAAGTAAGTAAAACTTTATTTATATAGCACCCTTCTCAACACGAATGTACAAAGTGCTTTATAGTACAGTACACAATTCACAGTACAACTAAAATGTATAATAAAAGGCATAAAGAGGCATGTTTTGTATATATCTAAGGATCTATAAAATATTGTTGAAAAAGAGTATAATAGGGGACATTTAAAATACCAAAACCTTTTCCAATTGTAAGCTAAAACCCCTAAAATGCAAACACTATTGGGTGTCATCCTTACTACTATGCGTAAAGGATGTATTTCAAATATGTACTTTTCATCAGAAAAAATAACAGTTAATAATGAAATATACAAGACAAGATAACATCATATCACCCATGTCTTGTTCACCTTAACTGTTAATACATTGTTTCCACTTCTGCTAATCACCATTTGATTTCGTTGAGATTCGGATAATTCTCAAGAATATCAGGCTGTTTGAGAACTTCAAGAAAAAGAGAGCAGGACTTTTCACCTTTGCTAATCACTTGGTCGATGAGCTCTATGGCGAATTCCTCTCGCTGTGAGAGATCTTTCAAATTCCCATATTGTCTAAGTGAGAGGATGTTCTTTTGTTGCACATTCTGCAAAATGAAGGATGGACCCGCACTCAGGCAGACAATGAGTCTCACCTTGTTCGAAATGATCATTTTGGCAGCCGGGCCCTGGAACAGACAGCAGAATTGATCATCAATATTTAACAAAAGTTTAACTTGTTATATGGGTCATTTGCTTTTGGGAATTTGTTCTAGTCTAAGACGTCATTTTTATGTTTCAGCATGCAGTTTGTAGGTGTGCACTTTGAGCTTGCCTCTCTTCTTAATGTCTGCCTGAGTGTGAATGTGTTTCTCTGTCATGTTGCTAACAACCTGTCCGGTAGATATTCCCCTATATTTGTAACCCTCCACTGAACAGCTGGATAGTGGATATCGGATTTTAACAGACAGGACAATGGTTTTGTCCACTTGAACTCCCAACTTTGTGATGTAAGCTCTACCTGATATGATTTTATTTAGGATATAAAAACATATTTTTTATGACTGACACTTTTGACCAAAAACTTTTCACATGCTGTACATCTGGAGCCTCAAAATGGTCGGATAAAGATGTAAATAGAGCCGCCCGACAATTAGCACACAAATTGGAAGCAGTGGCTGTACATTTTGACAATTATCTTCATAAAAATACATGTTTGCATTGTAAACATTTATGCAGTTTATGAATTTCGAACAGCTTATATTGTCTGAAATTGCACACTGCGGCTGTGTCCTCATCAGAAGTGACGATTGACGCTGTTAGCTAGCTGTCTAGACATGTTTGTTATTATCATTTGTTTGTCATGTTAGTAAAATGTGCATTGTATTTAACACAATTTGATGTTTGATTCGATATAACATGCAATGAGCATTTTAGTCAAACTTGTGAATAATGTTTTTTAAAAGAGCTAGTTTGGCGATGTTCACCCTTGAGTTTGTCCCATTCTTGGTAATGACAAAAACTCCCCAAAAAACAAAACAAACTATTTTATAGTGTAATGGTTTCTACAATTGTGTGTATGTGCTGTACCTGATGGGATGGCAGTGTCTCGTCTACTGATGGGGTGGCAGTGTCTCGTCTACCTGATAAGAAAGCAGAGTTAGGATTTACTAAAATGTCCAGATAGAACATTTATACAGAACAAATATGTAACGCAAGTTGTTTAAATCTTACCTGTATTCACTGATTTCACAGACACTGATAAGTTTAGAACATCACTATTGACACCAGATATTTTGTCAGCACAGATTACACTGCCATTAAGAGCAGTGTAATCTCTTTGGGGAACTGGTCCAACAGCAGTTCCTGAAATAAGAAAAAAACATGAATCATTTCAAATGACTACAAGGAGTCTAACGGGTTATGTAATAAAATACTGATGCATTTATATGACTTACAAAAGCAAACAAGACTATAGGCAAAGAGATTGTTTGTAATTCTGAATGCCTGTCCCAAGATTTCCCACAAAATCAGACAAAATGATTTATGGCATAGATGGAAGCAGGAAGAGGTGTCATGAAGAGAATAGTTATTTGACATTAAATTATGTGGTTATGGCTGATACTGGATGTAGGATCCATGTATGTGTATTGTTGGCATGTCAATTTATTTTGTTTATATTCATCTTGCCAGATGCTCACAGAGAACTCATTCATCAACTCACCACAACATTGGTATTGTACAGATCTTCAATAAACAGCAAACTAAACTGCATCCAACGACCAGAAAATGAATCTGTTATGTGTCTGTGTATGATCACTTTAAACCTCACCTGTGAAATAATGGCAACCAGGATGTAGGACATTGAAACATCCAAATTGCCATTAAACTGGAGTAGCATCAAGATAAATAGAATTTGAAAGAATCCAAAAATAATCCTGAATTGTATATTGACCTGGTTTGTCGTCACTACGTGAATAAACATAAGTGGCTAAATCAAAGTTCAGTTTGTTTCACCATCATCATATAACAGTTATTGACCTTATGTAGCTTTACAGTATATAGAGATACTTTGTGTGTTATTATTTTTTTTTTAAATGTTATTTTGTGTGAAATCTTGTGTAAATAAAGGGACAGTGATAGAGCTGGGTTCTATTTCTTTGTAAATAAATTGCAAGATATTGTTTTGTATGAATTTGCATAGGGGGCTACCGATATTGTCCACAACGGTTGCCAAAATAAACTACTTGAATGTCCTTGAAGTTGCGTAAAATGTTGCTATCTCTTATTTAATGTGTTTAGAATAAGGCCCAAACCAAAATTGATTTGTAACTGATTGATTCTGAAGTATGCAGTGGCGAGCCGTCAGGGCCCTCTAGGCCCTCTGTGAGGGCCTAAGATATTCCAAAAAATAATATTTAAAAACATTAAAAAAAAATATATTTTTTTAATATTATTTTTGTTATATTTTTCATTAGTTTTACCGAAAAAAAACTTGATTTAATAAAATAACATTTCCAAATAAATAAATCCTTCGAATCTGCCTGTTCAGTCTCTGTTTGAATGTGGGTTACATGAAAGAAGCTCGTCTGGCCCTCTCTGCGATTCACAGAGGGTTACTATAGTAACTGAACGAGAGAGTAATGTCAAATGACAGTACAATTGACCAATCATATCTTCCCTCTAAATGGGTAGGTTTTATTATCGCGGACTAGATGACAAGTTCCGCCTGCTGTGAAACTTTTCTTGTTTCCATAGCAACAACAACTTCCTGTCAACAGCGTGAACTCGCCTTCAAAATAAAAGCATGCCAAATTACACTTAAGACATACAACTGCAACGAAAGTAAGAAACACAATGCAATATCATTTTCAATGTCAAAGAACACAAATGGGGTTCACAGGTGTTGTTTTGTGTGGTAGAGGGTCGCTGTCATTGATGCGTTTTGCACCCTGGGCCGTTGTTTTGATATTCCGCTGAAGTATACGCTGTGACGTAATAACTCTTTTTTTTTTCTTTTTTTCGAGGGAAGGGGTGGGGGTCAGAGGGCCTAGGTATAAAGCTCACGGCTCGCCACTGGAAGTATGCAAATGCAATTTTTCAAATTATGTGATTTCATCCTGTATTGGAAATATATAAGCTTACCAGTTGTCCAACTCCGTGGATCCATCTCCGTTTTAATCTCCACGTTGAGGGTTTCTGATTTTACATCTGTTATCTCTCTCATGGTAACAACACTGCAACTGTCAGCGTGCGCAGTTGGTGCAGCTGACTCTGTAAATGTTAATAAAAAGCATATGTCAGCTGCATGTTGAAGTTGTAAGTCATATAGTTATGAGGTTATAGTACACAGGTATTTTAGAGGCCTTACTTTGAGGTGCAGGGTTGAAAAGCTGCTTCAGTTGCTGGTAGTGCGCTTGATTCTCCTCCAGGATGTCTAAGAAGGATTGACAGGTATCGTCTCCCTTTTTAATTATTGTACTCAAAAGCACTTCCATCTTTTCTAATGCATTGCTTCGCTCTTGTACCTCCCGAAACTCGTTCATGAGTAAAATATTCCCACACTTGGTGAGGATAAAATCAGGGTCCTCTGAAAGCCACGTACAGAGTCTTGCCTTCACGGACTCCAGTTTTTTCATGATCTGCAACGAGAGACATTATATTCGGGGTTATGGCAGTTTCACTAATACTTAAAGTATCAAACAAGAGCAAAGCATTAGCCAAATGATGTGATATAATTGCCTGTGGTGTGTGGTGTTCATAATTTTCTATAAACAACATTCAAAAGACAATATGTAAAAATGATTTTAAAATGTTTTCATTTTGAGACCATGGCCATTTTGTTTTACATTTGTGGTGACACACAAATGCAATCAGGAAGTGTTGATCAAAAAAATTGGGGTCAATATATTAATACAACACAAATAATCTTCACTGAAAATGACTGAAAAATGTATCATACCACAAATTGAAAAAGCTTTTGGTTTCACACAATAACAATACTAACAATACCATTTTATAATTACACAATTACAACGCAAATGTTGTGTGCCTGGGAAAATTCTAACTTTACAAAAAAGATGTAATGTCCAAAAAATGTATGTATGTATTTATTTTAGTGTTACAAATTGGTAGATTATAGGGTAAATGTGGATTTGTTGTTCCCCTCCTGTTCATAAAAAACAATAACCGAAAGTAAACTTTTCTTTGTTGTTACACAATACTATAGCGTAACTGTACTTTACCAAAACTTTACTGAACAAATAGCGCACACAATTTACCTTTATTAGCGTGGATTATCGCGCAAAACCAGCAGGAATCAAAATAATTCTAAAGAAAAGTTTTCCACGTAGAAACAAAAAGTCTTGTTTTCCCTCTGTCCGGATTACGCACACTGGCATCAGAGAAAGCACTTCCTCATTCTCTCAGAGTTTGGGCAAACAGCCCATAATGCGCAGTGCACACTGTAAGAAGGTGTCATGCTGCTCTGACGTGGACATGTGCTAAAGTAGCTTATCAATTATGGTATTTATTAGAAAGAATTATACGGTGAGGAAATGACGGCTCAATAACCACATACAAAAATCTTCCTATATTAATACAAAACATATTCCTCCAAACATATAATAGTAGGACAGAAGACCATTATTGTATGAAGTGATTCTAGTAGCACTACACATGAAGTTATTGAATATAATAATAACAATTCTCCAAGATTATTCGAAAGCATACCTTTACCAAACTAGCAAGAGACCATTTCTTGTGAGGTTATGTTGGGTCAGGTGCCCTAAACTGTAAGAATGTGCAGTTATTTAATATTGTTTGCAATAAAACTTCACCATAATTATCCAGGAGCATATTCCTTCAAAATAAATGTTGTAGTATAAAAAACATATTGCCATTATTTGTGTGATGTGATTTGGTAGCACTCCACCGCATGACAGAAAATGATGTTATATTTTTGAGACCTTGCTACGGTGGTAACGGGACACTGTTTGTGTAAAGTTTATAATCCAATATGTTTTCAACTTTATCAAAGTCTTATAGTTTCTGAATGATCTCCATTGCAGGTCTTAAGGTTGTTAAATGTGTCATAAAAAAAATAAGCTAAATAATGCGGATCTCAAACATACATTAACTCATATCTGGCTATTGCGATATATTATAAGTAACAAAACATAGTTTCACACTGTATTTTTTAAAGTAAACAAATAAAAACACTTGTCACCAAGGTCAGTTTTATTTGATTAAAATATAATGAAATGATTCACTTCATGATGATGTACACAAAAAACATGCATAAACAAATATGCAAATCAAATACAAATTAAAGAACATTGTTAAAATAACAAGAGTTCAATCATGTTCAGTTAGCCATGGTAGTCCGTCTGTTATTCTGACCTCATTAATCTCAATCACATTGTGTCTCTGTCCCGTTGGAGGCAGATACATAGGGTAATATGTAACTCATCGGTAGGAAATGATCACTGACACTTTGCAAAATGGAGTATGTTACTGGTTAAAGACATTTTACAATTGTGTACATGTGCAACAGCTTCCACACACACACTGTGTGGAATCTGATGGGCCTCTAACCCTAAACCTGGATCGGCACCTTGCCATGCCCCACAGATATAGGTGCCAGTATTTCACCTGTCCTATGGGTCCATATAATCTAAATTGATCAGTCATTTAAAAACCTTACTGTGAGAGCCGGTCAAAATAACACAACTATCTCATAGTCTTCATGTGTGGCATCGACCTCGGCTTGGTTCATGTACGCCCTGATAGTTCGGTCATTAGAATAAACCAAGAAACAAGGGATTGACCCGCACATTCTCCTGTCCTCTTGCCACCTGGAGACCAATCTGCAAGGGAACAGAGCATGCGGTAACCCTGGGAGATGTACAAATATTTGGAAAACATGAATCTGTATAAAACAATGTCAAAAGTGGCAAACTCTCATTTTTCCCACCAAAGCATGCTAATTTCATTAGAAATATCTGCAACTCAAAACATAGACGTCTTTGACACAATGTCAATATTGTTATCTCTTCACTTTCTGTTGATTTTTGTTAATTGTTTTAATGTTTTAAATGATACTTCTGCAATGTGAATATCTCACACATTGCACCTTTAATGTAAAACAATTAGCAATGAGTTAAATAAATGACATGCCATAGCTGTTTGTATGAACTTAGATAGCTGTTTCTACTGTGGCGGTCCTTGTGTACTGCTGGATGAGCTTTTGATGAAAGTGTTTTTGCGCTCCAGTGGTACAGCCCTCCTTCCAGACGGCTGGTTCAGTTCGCTCATGTCCACTCCTGAGTCTAAGCTGGTTTCTCGACTGTCGGCCGGCCCCCGTCTCCTCTGCTGATCAGACACTGCGTAATGGATCTCAGCTGCAGGTTTGCCCTCCATCGATACAAACCAGGCCCTTGGAGACTGCGTCGATGGGATTTTAGAAAGCTCTCCCAAGGCGGGCACGGAGCGTCTGCTGCCCCGGATTTTATTCAACGTTCCTGGGACCGACGCTGACTCCGTGAGGCTGAAGTGACCGCTGGATGTGTTGGAGGAAGTTGATGCCTCCTCTAGAACCTCGGACTGGTCCTCAGTTTCCACTTCCTGGTTCTGGGTGGCAGAGGAACCTTTTGCCGGGGCCTGGGAGAACTCGTCTTTACTCAGTGGATCTGAAGCGGCCGACTTGCTCCACTGGGCCTGTTCCTCCAAATGGAAGAATGCCGGGGCGTGAAGAATGGCAATGGGCTGGTTGTAGAAGAACAAATTCTCAGCCAGAGAGACGGGAGCCCTGATCTGATCCGTAGGGTCATGCAGACACATCAGATCGTTCAGGTCAGGGTTAAGCTCCACTCCGCCACACTCCACCCGAATGGCCACGGCATTGGGGTTGGCTATGACATTGCCATTGTGCCGATTATCCCCCCTCCCTGTAATGGTTTGGTTCAGTCCATTCTGTGGATGAGAGGAGTCTAGTGAAGCTTCTTCAAAGAATTCATCATCACATGTGGAGGTGGTTTTGTCTCTTCTCACCGCTGGTAGGATCTTCTTGGTTTTAGGTTCACTGAGCGAACGTCTGCAAACAATAACAAATGTGTTGAGTCTTATTCAGTGCCAGGCTAATGATAGTAAGAACTTTATCCATAAACTCTACATGATTACACAGTACAAATATAAAAATGTTCACTCAATTGGGAAAATATAGATTTGACTAATATTGAAGGGGTTTTAAAGGAGTACACCACGGAACATGATAGGTAACACTTACATTGACGTGAACATAACTAATAAGTGGTAAATTAGTAGTTAATTCAACTTAATTTTAAAGTAAAATTGACATTGATAAAATATAAGCTATAATTTGTTATTTTAACATGAATTACAGTTGTATATGCAACACAACTACAATATGTGTTTACTAAAAACTACAATACTATTCAGAACCATGAAAACAAATGTTCTTACCTAGAGGATAGAGATATATTTTGATATATGTTTTGCCCTCCCAGTGAGCTGGTGAGATATTTTATAATTGTTTTACATATTTATATCTAATCAAAATCACAATTGATAGTATTCATGGAGGAGTATGAGTTGAATGTTTCTTTTACCTGCGATTACATAATAACCCAACCAGAAGACAGATGATAATAACAAGCATCCCTCCCAGGACAACCATCAGGAGAGATGAATGGTTTAAGATGAAGTCAATGGGGATGGCAAGTCCAAAGAAACCTAAAGCATAAAAATGGTCAGAAATATAAGTTTGGCTGAAAAATATAAAACATACGTACATGCAATAATAAATAAAAATGAATAAACTCAGTATTCCATCCAAACCAAAAAAAAACTGGGTTCTAAATTTAAAAGATTTAAAAAATACCATCAAAAAGATCATTAAATAAGATATTTAATTTTTGATAGCAATGCCAAGTCATTTTGTTCTAAACAAAATAATCATAAATATGTTTTTAATGCCGGTTTATGAAAGAAAAAAAAAAGAGAAAAACATAAAGCTCTGAAACAAATGAAGAGACCACTGCAAAATAATCAGTTTCTCTGGTTTTACTATTGATAGGGATATGTTTGAGTAAAATGAATTCTTTTTTTAATTGATTCCCTAAACTACTGACTCTGTGTCAGTGTTGGAATTCAACAGACACTGGAATGTAATGCCATACTTGTAGAGATTGCGATTTTAGACACATTTGAAGTAGTCTCTTCATTTTTTCTAGAGCTGTAGTTTTGCAAATATACCCTTCCTACTAACTCTACATGTGGCAAAGATGGAAACAAAAATGCACTTGAAAGATTATCCTGGCATAAAACAGGGGAGAAAACAATTTCGATCCAACTTGAAATTGTTTGAGCAGTGTTTCTCTTCTCTCAAGGCTTTTGTATGTTCCAGGCCCATTTGAAATGATTATAGAATATGTTTGTCAAAATGATCACTTCATAAATTAACACAACTATGTACAATGTATTACCATTACATTGCCATACAGCTAACTGCCAAAGATGGTAGTATCAGTAACACTTGAGACACTTTACACTTGCCTCTATTGGGTGATAAAGGCGCTGCGATCCAGTAACCCAGGTGAGGAGCAGTGAATGTCCACATGAGCTTCCCCTCCACTGAGACCACTGTCCCCAGCCCCTTCCTCATCCATCCACCTAGAGATAAACAACAAGACCAACACTAGTTTGTATACATCTTTCTTCAATTACCCACAAACAACAAAATCCTGTGAGATGTGCAAGTAAATCAGCTTATTCCTTTCCAAAGACATTGAAGGTTAATGAGAAGGGAAAATAAATGAAAACACTTTTGTTCACCCAAAATTAGATTGTTTTGAGGAACAGATTGATTGTACACTTTTCACTAGACAAGAATATGGCAAAGATGGCAACAAATACATGTTTCAGTAAAAAATGTAATACAAATGCACCGGGTTCTACACATGAGGCTCCAACTGTATTCTCTCTATAGTGGCGGCACCAGATTTACAGTATGTACATCATAACAAATTAAAGAAAGGACAGTAAATTGAGTTTAAAACATGTAAGTTCTATATTTTAATGTCATCATTTTACATCTTCTTACAAAGATGACTATAAACGGTTTGCTAAAGCCTTTCTTTTTGAAAGATGTCGATTCCGGCCAACTGAATGACCGGCCAAAAATGTGTTGAAAAGTAATTAATTCCAATTTGGAACTTGCCAGGGAGTTTGAGAACAAAGAAGGTAAATGAGTTGTGGTACCCAAGAGATCAGCTAAGCATCTTAGGCTGTTCATCAACTGTTTTGCAAATGGTTGTCATCATTTGTGAACATTTTCAGACTGTACTAGTACTTCTTGAGATCAAATTAGGCAATATTTTGCCCGTGATATAAAAATAGTTTTAGTAATGGTGGGGCCTTTTGCATGTCTGTTAATGACTGTATACAGTACAGTTTATGGCCTACAGAGATATGGAAATACTACTAAGCTACGTCTCTCTGTGCTGCCCAGGGCTGGGTCAGTAATGTTTAAAATTGCTTGCGATGCAAACTTCCGGGTCGGCCTCCAAAAATACGACCTCGCTGCACTGTTCTATTAAGCTACATTTCCAAGTAGAGGCCATACAATAAACCTTACTTCATCTCCTTACTCTCCTAAAATAAAAATGGGCTAGTCTGATTGTGATTTCAACTTACCAGTAGTCCGGTTAAAGAACCAGGCCGGAACAACATCGGAGGTCTGGAGTCCGCGGCTGTCAGGAATGCTGAGGCTGATCTGAATGCCCCCCCCCCCTCACATGTAACTCAGTGTCTCCTGAGAACAGCTGCACACTGACAGCTGCCACCGGACTCAACTCCAAACCAACGTATCCTTAACAACAGAGGAGGTGATGCTTGAGAAGGATTAAAATAAACACATACATATACGTACTGTAGTGTTTATTCACACATAAACGCCTTAGATACATGGTTCCAGTTTACATGGTTATTGTTTAAATCTGATTATTAAAGCCTCAGATGAAAAATGCTATTTTTATAAAAGAAGACACATAAGAGGTTTTCTTTTTAATCTGAACTTGCAGTTACTTTTGTGTAGCTAGAATTCGCATTGCAATTTAACTTTCACATTTCAGATTGACAGCGGAAATACCATCTATAACACTTTGTGCTCATCTCATCAAAGTGAAACATATAGAAATAAATATAAAAACATGCCCAAAAATGAATGTTTTTTCAAAATGTTGTCTACCTGATTTAGTGCTCATGATGCCCAGAGTGTTCTGGAAGCCATCCTCCTCTGCCGGCAGCTTTGGGACGGTCAGGTAGGCTCTGACAGCCGTGGCATTACTGCTGTCGCTCAGATTCAGAAGGCTCTTGGGAAACTGGACAACGGGCTTTGATGAATCATCTGCAAATGAAGGGAAAACATGATCAATTACAGCTTGAAAATGTGCTTTGTAAATAATTTGTAGTGCAGCTGTCTTTGGCAATTGAATATGTCACTTTTAATCAATGCTTGCACTGAGAATCAAATACAGAAAAATAATGAGCAAGAAAGAAAGAAAGTGACTTTAACAATATATACATTACCAGATGTTTTGCCAGTGATCAGGACGGAATCATCATAGAGCCAGATGTTCCCCTGGTTCAGACCAAGCAGTGACATGGTCAAGGAGGAAAATACTGCAGAAATGTTAAAAATAGAGGAAAAATACACAATTAGCAAAAAGCACTTTAATGTGATGCACAAAGTTTCTTCCACTAGATGGCAGTGTGATATGTTTTTCTATCAAGCTTTACACAAAAGCAAGCTTATATCATCTTTGATCATAAAAACAATGGATCATGATTTAGTTATTTTCTGTCATTGGAAAAGCATAACAGATGGCAGAGGGGCAACAGAAGACGACACACATTCCAGATGTGCACAGGTTATATAATGATCCCAGGTGTTTCGCTTGGGTGCTCTGCCTAATATGGTGTGAAATGCAGAGAGGTGAGGCTAAACTTGGTATTGCAACAACAACAATGAAAATCACAAGGATGTAAAGCTTATACAGTACCTCATGTCAAATTCGTTTTTTACATGACCTGATAAAATAAGGAAAACATACTATCCATCCTTTTTTGTGTTTACGGATCCACCGACAGGTACATGTGACTTTTGTGTCCAATAAACCAGCCTGCTTTTCGCAAAAGACATTCACAATACAACGAAACTGCATTAGATTGCATTCTGAGAGAAACACATTTTCTTCCAGACTAGGTTTCTCTTGAATTGATACATGTACTTTTCTAAAAAAGTCTGGGAAAAAAGGATGTTTTGGTGGAAAGAGTGGTGAAGCAAACACAGGACTTCTGTTATTTAAATTATGTACCAAGAGTTCAAGTTTAAGCCAGTCATGTTCTTTTCCCAAACCTATTTTTTTTATTTTTTTTAAATCAAACAGTTTTGTTACGTTTATGTTTAACGTTTTTGTTTAACGTTAACCATTGGTTTAATACTGCGACCATAATATAGCAGAAAATACATATTCCTGTAAATGCAATTGAGAATGCAGTTTAGTTGTATGGGAATGTTCCATCGTAGGAGACAGGGTTGAGTAAACACACACAAGTGTAGTTATATAATGATTTTTCCGAGGGGGAAATTATGTAATTGGTTGGGTTTGAACTCAACAGGCAGAGCGCAAAGAGATGATGATGAACTGTCATGATGAAGTGTACTGTAGCCAGTGAATTGAAAACATTTCCTCTATTCTGGGCAGTCTAAAAGTACTACTTGATGGTGAGAGCCCAGGATGATGCTCCATACAGCTCATTATCTGTGGTGATTCAAACATGAGATAACTTACTTGGCATTGGGTCGGTTTTACACGGGAGCAGTGTGCAGATATAGCCATCCTTACTGGCCACAAGTGTGATTGTTGTCCCAGTTTGGTAAGGAACGTGAAGCAGAATGCCGCCGTCCCCCCCAGTGAGGGCAGTGGTGAACAGGGTGTAGTTGATGTAGACCTCCACCAGCGCCTGGCTCAGGGACTCACGACTCAGCACGTTGTTCACCTGGACCTTCAGGTTAAAAGCAGGATCTGGGGGGGGGGGAATAAAGATCAGGTTAAGAAAAGAACTGGGTGGTTGGGGCAAGATAACTGATTCTATAAAAATGTATTTACAATTGAGCAAGAACCTTGATACTTATTCAAGTTGCACATTATCGACATCGTGTTTTTTAACCATAATATCTTACAATATGATGTATTCCACTTTAACACTACAAATGGTCTCAAAACTGACACTTCTGACAAAATGCCAAATCCCTTATTATTTAGTCCACCCCCTTTATGCAGTGTGACTGTGTACCTTAACACTTTAACAGAATGGAGTTGGCTGCATTTGTAATTAACCTAGACAGGACCTTATTGGCACCAAAAAAACGAGAAGTAATTTGCATAATCCCTCAAGGTTATGAATCGATTATTCCCAGTTTATTTTACAGAGGTGGACGCAAAAACCCAATGTTAAAAATGGCCATTAACTTCAGCACAGCGTGGTTCAAGACAATGTTAAGCTACATCAGCATGCAGACGGGTAACTAAAGTACATATTTCCAATAATGTGATTCCAATTCCGCAGCCCTAATCATTATACGTTTTCAAGTAGTTCCCTGATAATCGGTTTCTAATGTAGATGTGTCACCTTAACCACAAGACCAATTAGTCACTCACACAGTGCAGCAACTCCCAATAGTGAGTCCCATGGCCATTTGAATCAATAGTGGCCATGTATACACTTCCCCAACATTGATCAATGCATAAGGGTATTAGTTATTAAACAGTGAGAAACCTGCAACTTCACTGACTTTCCACTTACAACAAGCCTTGATAACGGCGTACCTTGCAGCCGATTATTTAACTGCTAATGTAAGCATTTTGACGGATTATGTAAAGTTGAAACATGTGCTTGTTTAATGCATTAAACAGAAATCAATTTGGAAATAGAAGGATGGTTTATTAGACCAGAGTGGATATAAGATAAGAAACCATCAGAAAATAACAAAAACTTCAGTGATCTCCTTGAAATGTTTTCTTTTTTTAACTGAGTCTTTTGGTTTCCTTGATGTTATAAAATGACTGCATTTAAAAAGGGGGTATCACATTTAAGTTGAAATTATTTATATTATAAATGAAAATGTTGTTACAATATCAGTCATGTCATTTTAATAGGTTATTTGGTTTGTTAATGTTTCTACATTTTTGGGGAAATGATTCCATTAGCTTCTCCTAGCAGCAGGACATAATGAGCTGATAGCCGGTGACCACAGAGGAGCTTTTAGCAGCTAAAGAGAGACATTTCCCTCCGGACATTGTGAGTCCATATTGGATTTGTGTCAGGTTACTCTAATGAATGCTAATGTGGAACTGTAAATAGGCAACTGTGTGTAACTTGTATCTCCTTCTGCTGCCCTTAAGTGGCCACAAAGTCAATTAATGCAACTTTAAATGTGATTTTATTTTATGTGCAGGTTTGGCATTCCTAACACCTGCCATTCATGAGGGTTCATAGCATAGAACTAAAACAGCTCAATAATGACAAAAAACTAAATAAAAATAAAGTGCACTCGCCGCAAAGGCCACATGTTGTATTTCACAATGATAATGAAATTGACAAATAATGCATGTTAATTCCTCGCCCCATTAGAATTGGGCCAGTCATTTTCTGTAATCCTGCTCCCAAACATCAGCTTACAAAGCCGAAAATATAACCTCATCTTTTGATGTAAAAAAGGTGTATATCAAAGACTAGTTGGTTAAATCTGGAACAAAGGCCCCATAACAACTGCTCGTAAAGTTACTGAACACTGCTTCATAGAAACTCCTCCGTACTGAGAGTACTTTTTAGAGGTGCAAATCTCTGCCAGCACCAAACTATCTTCCTTCACCTACTGCCCTGCTATAAATATTCTCTACTGAAATGTACTGCTCCAATACAGTGTGGCCCGGAAAATGAGTTTTGGAGCCATGAATCTCAGCAGCCAGCTCATCATCCAGCCTCCACAGTTACAGAAGTTATTTAGTGCTAGCAGTCCATACAAAGGTCCTTATTGCACATTATATCACTAACTAAATGCTGAAACATTGCTAAAGCAGCTATTTTACTGGTCATAATGTCGTAAAGAACTCTCAAATGGGGACAATTTGACAATTACAGTAGGTGTTTTTTGGTCTGATTGCTCATAGCTGCTAAAAGACCTGCAATAGCTTCATTGAAGACTAATGAAGCCAGGCTTTATGCTACTAGCAATATTTGATAAAGTGCCAAAACCAGATAATCAGACCATCCTGTATTATTACCCCATAACAATTCCCTTTGATCAGGAGCAGACAGATGCCTGAAGCTGCCAGGAGGGCCTTTATTTTCAGCCACAATATTAAACACTACATTTGGCAGTGTTAGTGTCCGCCCACTGGGATACATACACCAGTGCAGATGGACATGAGGATGCTTGTTTTGGAAGAGTCATCTTGATGTGTGTTCTGCCTCTATGGCCAAACATAACAGAAGGGGGTCACTAAATCTGAAGTGGAGGTGTTTCGTGCCAGATTACTATAATCTCCACATTTGGCGAACTGAACCATGGCACAAAGAGGTTTATGAAGTGGATTGCAATGGGCTGCTCAAGGCTGCCGAGCAGATGACAAATAGATCCCACGTTGTGTGTGATTTGGCTTGAACACTGTTATTATTGGGCAAATGACAGCACTCATCCAGGAAAGAAAATGCATAACTCCAGAGATCTCAAACCCTTTGTTAGATAACCCTTGCTATGTCAAACGACAAATGACAGAGCTACGTGACCCAGAAATGAAGGCGGTAAATAAGAGAACGGCAAGCTGTTATGAATCAAAAACACAATTATTTTTGGCTTAACGCATTGCAATTTGCATTGGCTGACATATCAAGGAATTATAGCGTTACATATTATCTTGACAACAAAATCAGGATGAACAGGGACAAGCACAACCATGTTGACCAGTCAGTTCTGTGAGACAACCAGTCAGCGTAAACAGATGGTCCAACAGGGACTTATCTCCGCTGACCCCCCACCTACCCCACATACGCATGTTTGTGTGTTGGAATTAGGCCATACATTCCACTGATGGAGACAAACACAAGAGAACCCTTTGATATGTGGGCCAAACAGGCCTCAAGCACGAGTCAGCAATATCTAATCAAACTGACAAAAGATGCGTAGGGTGTCAGCGACAGAGGGGTGTCAAGAAGATTTAATGTCTGAGCAACCACCAGTCCTGTTAGGGTATAGTTACAATCCTCCCCTGGGGGAAATTATGAAATCTTAAAGTCTGTCTCCAAATGTAAAAGGCAACAATGAAGATGTTAATCTCAGCATGGGAGAACTGACCATCTGGTTCCAGAAAAGAGGTGTTTTTTTAGCCTGTTTTAGGGGAGGGAGTCAAATAGTGATGCTTGGGTAGTGGCTACTGGTACCTTGGTTGGTTATCGGCTAATGGTTACACAAGCCAAAAAATCGTTATGACATCATAAAGTGGCAAAAATCTGATCAGCTCATTTTCAGACAGGTTTTTATATAGATGGATCAGGACAAAAAGTGAGGTAATCTTTTTTGCTGAAACTTTCAGAATCTCTTTACACAGAGGGGACACATGTTGATGTAGAAAAGACATGAACAACAGCAACTAATTGCTACAACATAACTGTGACTGTTTACCGAGTGTTAACTATTACTGTTTCCTTAGCTAACCATGAGTAACAACCTTAACCTCAACTTTCATTTCATTTAAAGGGGACCTATCATGCAAAATGCACTTTTGTACGTCTTTTATACATGAATATGTGTCCCCGGTGTTCCAGGGAACTCACCAAGTGTCAGAAAACACAACCCTCTCTATTTTCCTCCATACCCAAATCTCTAAAAAAGGGGCTGCAACGGATCTGATAAAAACTGATCCAGATTTGAACACTGTCCTGACGTCAGGACTGTGGCGCTACGGCTATTGGGCCAACTCCACCAATCAGGAGGAGACAGCCACGGCCATTGCCGTTCGAAAGCGCTGGAGACGCTGTAGTACATATGCCAGGCCAGTAGATGGTGCTGTTCTAACAGAATCTGCCCTTGCAAAAACAGGGCTAAAAAAGTGCAAATTGAGCGAAATGAGGCATGGCTAAAATGCATGATCTGTTTGGTATTTTGAAAAAAAAAAAGTATAAATATGCCTTATATAGGTATGGTCCTACACTATATTATCAAAATATAGCATGATAGGTCCACTTTAATCATTTATTTGAATAGGGACAATGCACATTAATGAACACTTAAGACAAATAATGCTTCAAGTGTAAATATGCCGGATTTGAGCTTTGAGCTCATTTCCATCCGTAGTCCCTGACATACAACATATAAGAACATGACATTTATAAACATAGCAAAAAATAAAAACATGATATGCAAAAAGAGCAAGAGCAGCATACACAAGTATTTATGACATGGTACAATATAGCAGCAACGACATATAAAGTGCAAGAGATGATACAAGAGCTACATAAAGTGCAAGAGGAGATACACCTGTGTTAAAGTGCATTTAGCGGTGATTGCACGTCTGTTTGTTTCTCAACCATTCTTTGAGTTGACCTTTAAAGCTATTGAGAGTGGGACAATCCCAACGTTATCTGCTGGCCTTACGTTAGTTCCTGTTGTTAATGTATGTTTTGTACATTTCTATGTCTAGATATTCTATTTTATTTTATAAGTATACAGTAAAGTGTCCAGTCATTTCCCCTGAGAGCTTACTTTGTATAGAAGGGAGGCCAAGACGAGAAGGTTTGGCAGGACACAGCGCCTGGTGGCAGGGGGGGGAGGAGGGAGGCTACAAGGGGACAACAGCATGCTTGGGTGCATTTCCAAGTGTTTCAGTCAACAACACAGACTAGGAGGATCATGTGATGACGGATGGTAATGTACTCCTACAGCAGCATGAATTAGTCATGAATCAGTTGATGAAAAAGGGTCACAAATCGCTCTTTCTGTCCTCTCCGCCACTCAGCTGTGAACAAGAACATTGTCATGACAAGTGCATGCATCTGTGTGTGACTGAGAGACACAGAGAGATGCACTCTGGATTGGGGAGGTGGGGGTGCATTTGTGATTTGAAAATCACAAAAGCACATCAATTGAATAACTTGAAAAAGGGAACAACTTGGAGAGAAGAATGAGTCTGCTGACATTTGATTTGATTAACATGATAATGCAGTTAGTAACATTATGGGCCTTCTGTCATGCTTTTTGAACACCCAAAACAAAATGTACTTTTATAAGTAGCCTTTTTGTGCTTTTATGAAAATGTTCCCAAGAATTTACGATGTTAATATTGTGATAATATTGCAAATGCACATTGTTAACTTGGTAGTGATGCTGCAGATAAATAGGAACAGATGGACAAACCGTTAGTCATGAGGGGACAGCAGCAAGCTCCCACGCCACTTATTAGGCTACTCATGATCAGAGGATATGCAAGCAAATCCTGGCACAGATGGTCTGATCCGACTAAATAAAGGATATTTATACTAAAATATATTAGAAAAACAGGGTATGGTGATGGGTGATGAAGTCGAAATAACAACAAATGGCAGAATTCGACATGCATCCTTATAATCCAGCTGAAATATTATTTATTCCCAGCTCTAATGGCACACATCAAGCACAATAGCGAAACACGTTCAGTTGTACTCAGATACGATTGCGGTAATGGTGACACAGTGAAGCCCACACAGACCTGACAGCGGGAGCAGCACTTGTTGGTTCTGAAAAGCCTCTTGTTTCATGTGATCCCGGTCTGAAAAGTTGCCGTCATTGATATGCAGAGGATGTCCAGGCGGAGTGAACGCTCCCTTCGCTTTCCCATCTTCGCATAGGATCAGCGCAGAAAACACACACATCCACAGGCGCATGGCTCTGCCTCTGGAGAAGAGAAGTGTTGATGGAGGTCACCGATGACTCACAAATCCAATTCATCCAGTTAGCATCTATACGTTGTGGAGGAACAGAGATGAGCAGTGTGTCGCCATCCTAACCTCTACGCTGTCAGAGCAGCGAGGCCCCGCCCCTTTAAGCTGCTTCCATGGAGATCCGCTTTAACCAGATATCATCATGATGACTGATGATTTATCGACAATAACATGCATCACACAAACGAATACAGATATGGTTTTGAAGGTAGATCCTTGTTTTATTTTAAAAATAAAAACAACACAATGTAAGATTATATAAAGTAGGCCTAATGATTATGAAGAATATTTTAAGTTTTAGGATCATATGTATTTACAATAAATAAGTAGGCCTACTAGTGTTTATAAACTGGCTTTTATTTTAACTTTATATTTTATTTTAATTTTATTTCAGATTTCTATATTTTCTATATGTAATTGTTGATTGGACTGTTATTATTACTTCTTTATTTAATTGTGTGGTGGCATGTTGTATTTTTCTGAAGAACTTTCTGAAATGTTTGTTTTGAAATGTGCTATTTAGCCTTTTTATGCAACTTTAAATGAGAATAAAAAATGTTTTTGCAGGTTTCCTTGAGAAATGTAGTATTGTTGTTATTTATTTTGTCAAGAAAAACACTAATCAATCAATCAACCAACCAATCAATACAACGTTATTTATACAGCACTGTTCATACACAAAAGGAAACATTAAATGCTTCACAAATCAAAAACAATACTACAAAAACAATATTTTTTTTGTTGTGTAATATTTTGTTAAACACTTACATTAACTGATGTTCCCCACTAGGTGGTGACACTGTAACGTCAGTTCCCAGTACACCATTATCATACCATAACTGTAGTGACGTGACCTAATTCACATACTGATTGAAGCTGATATTTAACCTGCAAGTCTGGCCTCGAGGAACATGACCTGCACATAAAGATGTACTTGTAAGATCAGTAGTGGTTTCATTTCATTTAATTTCAAACCTTTATTTATCCAGGTTGTATCCCATTGAGATCATTGATCTCTTTTTCAAGGGAGACCTGCTCAAGTAGGTTCCACATGAAACATTAAAAACATAAACAGAGCAACAAAAGGACATCATACAGTATCATTACAGGGATTACAATTTACATAACTATCCACATGAACAGGTACCAACAGCTTCCGATTCAGGAGCATCCAACCGAGCTTTAAAAACATTTAGTGGCACCAGATTGCTCAGTTTCCATTTCAATTGCGGACTATTCCAGGACAGTGGAGCTGCGCATCTAAATGCTATCTTCCCTAAGACAGTCCTAGCAGTTGGCACATTTAATAAAACCACAGCATGCGATCTCAGGCAGTAGCCACTTACAATTCGCCGTGAGATCAGGGAGCAGATGTAGGATGGAAGTTTCCCTAACATGGCTTTATATATAAAAATGTACCAGTGACTGAGCCTCCGTACAGTTAGTGAAGGCAGACCAGCCCTTGCATACAGGGTACAGTGATGGGTGATGGGTGATGGTAGTGGTGGTTGTTCTCTTCAGCCTTCAGTCTGAGGCTGGCTGACCTTGGACCCCATGACATCACAAAACCCAGCCAACCTCAGATCAGGTGCACCTTCACTCAGAAAGTTACCACTGACACAATTCTAACTAAAGAAAAAATTATAATAACAGATTGTCAACAGTGGCAGAACAGCTAACCACATTTTGCCCAGAAAGTCTGACAGGAAGGGAAAAATAGCCCTTTATCCTGTAGGAAAATAAAAAATGTGCAGTGTTGGCAAATATAAAATGTCACTTTCTTCTTCAACAAAAGAGACAACCACTTAAGGACAAAGACAATTATACAGATAGACATGTATATGTTGTTTTTTTCTTAAATGTGCATTTTTTACTCTTTAATGTCAACATTATCATATTTTATTTGATGTTTAGTAGGTTTTCTTTTGTTATCTATATACTGTAGTATTACATATGTGTACTCATCACTAGATAAACACTTGTACACTTATATGTATACAGTATATTGTTTTATTTCATTATCTACTCGACTCTATTCATTAATATTGTTATCCACTTTATTTGTTGTAAATTTCAATATTCATTTACTTTCATTATTGTTTTTGCAACACATATGTCATACGTCCTGATAATAAATCCTAATGAGCTGAATTTAATATTATAAAGTAGCAGAGGTAGTGGTAGTATAGCAGCAGTTATAGTGACAGCAATAACAGAAGTTCTCTAGTTTTCTTTGTAAGATTATTTATTAAAACATGCGTGGGTCTTTCCAGTGAAATTAATGCATCCATTAAACATTTAACAATCATTCTGCATGTTTTTAAACCTCTGTTTTTACGTAATGTTAGGGGGGAAAAAGGTGCCCACACTTGCAAGCAAGCAGAGTTCAGTTTAGTTTAGGAGCACATTTGTTTCCTCAGTTTGGCCTTTTTTCTTTTAAAATGGATAGAATTCAGAGAAAACAACATCCAATTCGAATTATTCTGCCTTTTTAGTATTTAATTAACTTGATTATACACCTAATTGAATCCTATTTCTTTTTCAGATTTGTAGTTTGTTCTTAATCATAGAAGGCCATCTTTGTATTGTTTCTGATTTCAAATTCAGCTCAGAGTAAAGAATAACACCCAGGTATTTTTCAGGTCCTGCTCCACTTAGATCTATCCTCAACAAAGCACCTGAAGATCGGCTTCCTCTGTGATATCCGCCTGTGGAGCTTCCTGTCTTTAAAGCCTGAGAGAATCCTTCCTCAGCCGGCTTCTTCCCCTCATAGCTCTTCACTGACAGGGGCATGGGAGAAGCAGTGAGCAGACCCGTCCTCGCTGCTCTAATCCCCTGAAGTATTAATCGGTGTCTAAACACACAAACAGGAGGATGACAGCAGTCTGGAGGATCAATTTGCCACAAATTAGATACAGTAATGGCTCATTTCTCCACATAAATAGCTGCATTTTGGAAATCTGCTCACATTCACCCTGTTCCTGCTCCGTGCTCCACGCTTGACTGTTCTCCCCTATTAATCTTATCAGAGCACAGATACACTTTGTTTTCTAGCACACAACACTGCCTTGTTTATTAGATTCTGCTAACAAAACAAAGACTCTATTATCTTCCAATTCTATCATCTTTTTATGGAACTGTAATAAGAACTGACAATTAACTGTGAAATAGGTTTTCTCTATTTTTTAAGGTAGAACATTTGGCTTGAAAATAACTGTATTTGTTGTCTTCATTATTCATTTTCATATCTTACCTTTGGGTGTCTTTAAACTTGAATAAAAACTCAATAGTTTTGTCTAAGAATGTCTTTAAGGTCATAAGTACGGTGGCCAACAGGTGCAAACGCACACAGTTAGCCTGTTTCATAATTGTAAGTGTTTCGTCAGTATATTTAGAATGACTAAGTTAGCTATAGGTTAGTTAGCTAGCTTAAAGCAGATCTGCAATAATATCGGGAGTAATTATGCGATCATATTTCCAAAATAAGCAAATAAAACGTACATTTTAGGTACGTTTCCAGTGACAGTTGGCCAACCTTATATTCCCCAAACTTTAACGAGCGCTCCGGTCCACCTGTGTGCGTCACTTTTTAGTGTCCCCGTATCCGTTATGTTTTGAGCTTCTTCCAGCGTATTTGCAGCGTTTCGTTTATGCAGCTCTTTTAATAAACCCTGCGCATATTTCGCCAAGTTGGTGAAGGTTTTCTAAATGCTGCGCATGTGTTGTCAAGTTTTTAAAGATGTTTCTTCATTTGCATGTGTTTTGGCACATTTGTGTTTTGCATCGTTTTTGAAACTCCAGCCCGTTTCTCCAAATGGAAATGTTTTTGTAAGGTTTTAGTGTTTGTCTATCTGTCTTATTGTGACATGACTCTGCTCTATCTTTCCAGGTGTCTGCACTTCCTGTCTTTGTGTGTCACCGGTCAGACTGATTGTTGTTCCCGCCCCTGATTGTGTCCACCTGTGCCTCATTACCTAATGTGTGTGTGTGTGTATATATAGTCCTTCTCTCCCTTTGTCTTGTGTTGGTTCGTCTTGTCTCTTCATGAGATCCATGCCTGTTACCAGAGACCTGTTGTATATACCTAGTCGAACCTAAGGATTCTTTGGAATGTCCTAGTAGATCCTAGAAGACTTGAAAAGCTTTGTGATCTTTATAAATAAAGAATATTACAAAGCAACGGAATCGAGCATCTGAGTTCTTAAAGAGCCCTTCGTGTCAGAACCAACCAACCAAACAAGATGGACTCAGCCGATTCCACTACAGTAAGAACGGCCCTGCAGGCGCAGGGTACACGCCTTCATCAACATGAGGGACAGCTGTCAGCAATCAACCAAGGGGTCCAGGATTTACATGCTCGTCAAGACAACTTTCAAGCTACGGTGACGACAGAAATAAATCTACTGGCTGAAAAGATGCGGGACATACTGACTCACCTCGTGGCAAACCCTGGTGTTCCTGCGGCAGAGTTTTCCGGTTCAGCGGGGGTCGGGTCTGCTGATATCCCCGTTCAAGTACCCATGCAGTCACCTACGATCCGTCTCGCTTCGCCGGAGAGATTCTCCGGAGACTCTGGAAACTGTCGTCCCTTCCTGGTACAGTGCGATCTCCACTTCAAACACCAGCCCGCAGCATTTCCCACCGATCAAGCTAAAGTAGCTTTTATTGTCTCTCATCTGACGGGTAGAGCGGAAGCCTGGGCAACAGCGGAGTGGTCCCGGTGCTCGCCTGTTTGTCAGTCATTGGAACTGTTCTTGGATACCATGAGCAAGATCTTTGATCAGATATCACCCGGGAGAGAGTCAGCGAGAGCCCTGGTGAACATTAAACAGCGGCAGAGGAGAGTGGCGGATTACGCAATTGATTTCCGTACTCTGGCAGCGGAGAGTGGGTGGAACTCGGCGGCTCTCTTTGATGCTTTCCTGCATGGGTTAGCGGATCCCATAAAGGATCAGTTAGCTCCATTACAGCTGCCTGAAGATTTGGACTCGCTCATCGCCATGGCTATCCGGGTTGATCAACGTCTAGCTGATAGACAGCGGGAAAAGGGAAGGAATGCAGTATCCACTCCACCTTTCAGACGGGAGTTACCGAGGGA